ACAAGAAGGCCAATAGTCTCCCTCTTTTTGATGATGACAAATAATTTACAAAGGATATATATGCATGAAAAAAATGAATATACAAATAATAATATAATCATGTATATAAACAAGAAAGAATATACTCACAATATTTCTCCCCCTTTGACAACATCAAAAAGGGGACAAAAGGATAAAGAGAGCGAAAGCTCCCCCTATCAATATGCATAGGTGAGTATAAAAAATATATATAGGGATTGCTCTCTCTATCAAAATGCCTTATAGAGATATGAAATAAAGATCATGGCAAATCATGTGAGCAAACATAAATAAAAAATATGCTAAACACAACTCACATGCAAAAGAACAATAAGAACACATGTGTATATATAACATCATGAAGGGTGTTACAAAGATTTCAAGATGTATATATACAAACCAAACATTTATCATACTTGCCCCCAAAGAGATGAAATGAGGATCCAAAAAGGCATCATTTGAAAAAAATTGTTTATGAAGGAGGCTCCATGAAAGAAAATAATTTGCTTATATGTAGGGGATAAGGAAACAAAATTAAGAAGGGATATTTTCAAAATAAATCATAACAATGTGTGGATTTATGAAATCAAAAGAAGAGGAACATGAGAATCATGCAAAGAGTTTTCAAATGAAAACAAATCACTCAAATGAAATCATAAATCAAGATTTGAGTCCAAAAACAATGTTTGATCAAAAAAGAATTTTTTTTTGTATAACTTGATCAAACCACTCATAGAATACATTATAAGGTATGAATAGATGATTCATGAGCACAAACATATAAATATCATCATATAAGTGAAATATAATGAATTCAAAGCAACAATTTAAAATTAGATTTTTCATAGTTCACAAATAAGATTGCAAGTCATACAAGCATCATGAACTATGGATTTGAGAAACTAAAAATCATCTTTAAGAGTATAAAACTAAACCATCATCGATTTTCAAAAATGAGAGAGACAACCATTAAGTTTTGTCAAAAATTTTGTTTTGATATATCAAGCTCTTAAGCTTGTTCCAACCCATATAATGACTTTTAGTACCCGGTAAATAAGATTTGGGAATAAACACCCAATAAACTCGGAGGGTTACATAAATATAAACCTCTCATCAAAATCAAAATTAATACTCATGAAAACAAAAGAATTAGATCAATTTAAAAATTGTTTTCATATCCAAAAAGATTTTAAAGCATAATTTTCAAAACCAAGAAAAGGAAAATAAAAACATTAAAATTATTGATTTACAAAAAATCGTTTTGGCACCCAAGCGTTCTTGGTGTCAGATTGTTTAGAGACATGACCTCTATCAATAAAGCTCAAAGCCCTAGGGTTATGAACCCTCTTGGGCGCATGTGGTGCACAGATGTGGTCAAAACAAAAATTACATAAATGACCTTTACGATTATAATTTGTGCAATGAAAAGGTTGAAATAATTTGCGTTGACCAAATGGTTGTGCACGAGAAACATTAGAAACATTTGCAAACATGGATGGTCTTTTAAAATTATTTTGCAAATGTGAAACTCTCTTTAAATCAAAACAAAATTTGGCCAAATGACCAAATCAACCACAAAAATCATATTTATATATACACATGGGCATGTTTATGATGATCTATATGAGCATGTGCATGTGCATGTGATGAAGAAACTTTATGAGATGCACAAGAAACATTAGTCTTGGAGGATTTATGTGCATCATAGCAAAACTTAGCTAAATGGCCTTTATGACCGCAAATAGAACACTTATAAGTTTTACTATACAAGTGTACAAAGTGTACGGGTTTAAAAGTTATAGTACGATACTTTGCACCCAAGTCCATAAGTTTCTTATTATCTACAATGCATATTTTAAGGGTTGAATCTAACAATGATATGCGTTCTTTAACATGATCCAACTCATTGTTAGGCATACAAGCATTGGAAAAAGAAGTAGATGAAACTTGATCATATTTAAATGAATTAAACTCATTTCTAATTATTTCTACTTCTATCATGGCATTATTATTAGAATGAGTTAAGCGAGCAATAGATGAAGTTAATTTTTTATTTTCTAAACTTAGCATGTCATTGTTTTCTTTAAGTGTAGCATTCTCCTTAGTAATGACATCAAGTTTAGAGGCTAACAACTCATGATCGGACTTCAATTCTACATGCTTGCTTTTTTATTCAATAAAATTATTTTGCAATTTTGTATAGGCATGAGATAATCTATCATATGCATAAGTGAGTTCATCAATAGATAAATCATTATCGGAATCGGAATCGCTTACTATACAACAGTTATCCTCTTGTGGCCTTGTGCATGATACTCCACATGAACTTGAAGAAGAATCCTCCAAAGCTTGTCGGATTGCCTCCAAGTCCCCTTGATATGCTTTAATGAATTTTCAAAGTTTGTAAGCACTATCAAAATGAACAAATTTGTTAGAAAAGGATGAGTCAAAAGCATTAAGCAAAAATTCTAACAAAAGCTTGTTCATTGTAAACATTTTATGATCATGATTGCTCTACTTGGATTTCTCCAATGTGGGCACAATATAAGCACAATTAATAAGTTCCCATAAGTCAATATTTCTAGATTCAACAAATATTTTAAATTTAGAGCATCATTGAGCATAAGGGAAATTTTTATATTTTGGAGCAATATTTGGATCATAGCCTAAACGAAATGCACCTATATTCATGATATATATGTGAATATATGCAAGCAAGATAAAAGTAATCATAACTATATTAGCACAAATAAGATAACTTGGATCTTTAACTCAAGGTGGTTAGACCTTAAATCAAAGAGCACCAAGCTCCGATATCAATTGTTAGACCCTAGAGGGGGGGGGGGTGATTAAGGTCTTATGCTAATCTAATCCGATTAAATACCAATTAAAATTAATTAACAAGTTATCCTAGCAAGTATGAAATACAACAAGATATGTAAGCTAGGATAAGCAATATGAACAACAAAATATATCCTATATGATAAAAATATATGCAAGGATATATAAACTAACACAAGGGTGAAATAAACAATCTACAAAAGTGATAGGGCAATATGAAGAGCAATACACAAAGACGATATAAGATATGAATACAAGAATAAGAACGCCAATGCAATCACAAACAAAATGATATGATCAAGGAGTTCGGTCTAACCACTTGACCTATGTCTCCGCTCCTCACCTTGAGGAGATCTCCACTATCACAACCGGGTTTTCTACGTTTACCCGAATAACGTTTACACCACACAATACGGTTTTCTAGTTTACCGAAAACTCTACAACTTACACACTCTTGCAATCACACTCTACACCCTCTCAAGTGTTGAACTAGATGTGTTTCCTACAAGTGCTCCGATACAACCTCTCCCTAGGTTCGTCAACCGATGCCACTCCTCTTGGGATGATCCCCGACTCTCGCCACACACTTCTCTCGGTGTACAAGTGTATTACAAAGTGATCCTCACAATAAGCACAATACAAAGTGTTTGTTCTCTACAATGGATGAGAACGAATTATAAGCTCACTCTCTAAGCTACACAATCCCACAACCCAATTATACTATGAATGTAAATACAATAAGCTCAATGGTTGTGTGTGTGTAAACAAAGAGAAAATAAAATCAACTAAACTCAATATGAACACTAGATTAATAAAATGATAATCAAACAATATAAAATATAAAGCTAGATTGAGTTTAAAAAACTTCTCAATAGATCAAGAGGTAGAGGGAGAATAGTTGGATGCTCAAACACCAATAGATGATCTCCTCAAGCTCTTGTGAAATTGATTTCACAAACTCAAACTCTCAAATGCTTAAAAGCTTCTTAAATAAACTTAAACAACACTTAAACCATTGTTAAACTCTTATTTAAAAACTTCTTTTGATTTTGATAGGTTGAAGAATAAGAGCAAGGGGGTATATATAGTCACCCAAAACCTCAGCCAAAAACCCTAAAGGAAAAGACCAAAAAGCCCAAGAATCAGAAATCTGATTCTGTACAAATATAGCCGTTACAGTGTTATGGGTCAACTCGTTACTGTTCATGAGTCGACTCATAACTAGCCGTTATAAGCTAAAAACAAATTATGGGTCGACTCATAAAATCCATGAGTCGACTCATCATGCATGGGTCGACTCATGAAGTCATGGGTCGACTCAGCAGAAACAAAACACACTTTTCAGCACAATTTGTGACTCGACTTATGACAGGCATGAGTCGACTCAACCTGTCTGGGTCGACTCATGATGGTTATGAGTCGACTCATCAGAAACAAATGACAACTGACTAATATTCTTATTCCTGCTTTTAGTCATATTGTATAAAATTGTGCAAATCATATGTGCGTCAATTCCTTTCTTGTCATTATAAGGAGGAATAAAACCGTCGAATGTAAATTTGCACTTTTACTTATTTTTCCAGCACTAAAAAGGTTTGGAACCGAGTTAAATGATCTTTCTACATACTAACATTAACAATTTGATACCCCATTTATGAGAAAATATCCATTTAGAAATAAGTGTAATATATTGTTTTGATTTATATTCTTTTGTACATTAAAAAATAAAAATCTAAAAATTGTTAAATGCAAATTAATGAATCAATCTTACATGCAAAAATATAATTAAGTCTTACTATATAATTATCCTTTTAATAGAGATATAAGATTTGCAAAAAAACGGTGCTCCTTTTAGGTCTTCACTAGACTATCATATATTTGTTTAAACATCTCTATAAACTCCAAATTAGCTTAAAAGGATTCAATGAATAAATTAGAGCGAAATGCTAAACTTAATAATTATCAATTTTAGCTAAATCTAAAAATTTATGCCACGTGCATTACACATGCTGTTCACCCAGTAAACCAAACATTATAAGTGACAATTTTATTACTGCATGTACCCTTATAAGTTTTTTTCATGTGAACCTATATATATATAAAAGTAATTTTCGCAAGTGATCCCACTAGATACCTTGCCTAGCTCTTATCACATGTCTGAAAGAATAAAGTACAGGAGGAGACCGAAAACCAACCATATCTTCACTTTTCATCTCCACTTCTCTCTTCACTCACCGTCTCCTTTCTCCGTCTTCTCCTCTTCAACGAGACACAAGAAACCCTAACTGAGCTCCAAATCCATGGCAACGGTAGCGAGTCCGTCTTCTCCCAACTCTCTCCAGCTCCGATTCGGCCGCGGGAGCGTCAGACCCCCTTCGTCCTTCTTCATCATTCGATTTCGGCCCTCGATTCGTCGGATTCGGCTCCAAATCTCCGTCAATGGAAGCAAAGAACCTCATGATTCTTTCGCCGGTTGGTCTGGATCTGAGGGCGATGACGGGGGTGATTCGAAGAAGAATAAGGATCGATTTGGAGGTAAGAGGTTTTGTTTCTCATTTCATTCCAGCGATTAGGGTTCTTGTTGTTATCTTCTAAATTAGGCAAATTGGATGTTTGATATGAAAATTGGTATAATGCTATGATTATCCTGATGCATCTTGGAGTGGGTGTTTCTAAAGAATAGGGGTTGTAGAAGTTTCATCTGAAGTTATCTGAACCTCTATTGTATATAAAAGCATTTGGTGTTGGTTAAATTACCCAAAATAATAATAATAAAGAGAGTTGATGGATTGACTCTTATTGATTGTAAATATTTAATGCCGGAGTAGTAATATCATGGTGTGTTGACCAAAATTTGCTTCAGAACCATAGCCTTATATTGAAGTCATGAGGTCAGTTTTGTATAACCTGTTTAGACATATTTAGACTCTGATCAATGCTTTTCCTCTTCAGTTATTTGGTTTTTAGTCAGACATCTAGTTCTTTCTTTTGCATGCTTTAATTTGTAAGTTATCTCAGTTAACCGGTTCTAGTGAGAAAGTTCCATGTGTTAGATGTATCTTCTTGCAATATATCTGTTATACCATGAATTTATGCTTGCATTGCCTGGGAAGACCAAGGATCAGATCTATGTTACCGGGGTACTTGTAACATGTTGTTGTACCCATACCCGACATGCATCATAGACTGACAAGTAAAGGACGCCTCTATCCTCTATCATACCCATATCGGATGCACTCCTTGGACACTCCTTGTCTTCGTGCGTACATTTACTCGAATGTATACTCAGTTACATAATATATGTTTTCATTTAAAACACTCATCATACGCTTCTTGGACATTTATTCTACACTTTCCGTAACTTGTTGGTCGGGTTCATTTTACTCCATACCCCAGTTCAGAACTATGATTTTAACATTTGGGAATCTTATGTGCAAAACAGGTGATTTTCCAATTTATAAGGTACATAATAAAAGAAACATAAAAATGTCATGAGAATCTCAATTCTCATAACATGTGAATGAGCATATATTTTTCTTATGTAATTTAGTAATTTCAGTATATGTATATAGCTATGTCCTTGTACCCTACCTTTTACAAATATAGGATCAGATAAATTTCTGTAACCTAGAATAAAAAATGTTCAGTAGGCATGTATGGCTGGTCTTTGATCTGATGGTCTCTGTTTAGAGATGGTGGCTATTTTGAGGCCATTTTCTTAAAAAAAGGAAAAAAAAATCAGACACAGGAGATGTAAAGCTAATTCCTTTTTCATTTGTCGGGCTTTTAAAGAAAAAGAGAATTTTCTTCTGTGAATGAAGAAATAGTATTCTACATTGAACTGTTTATTTACATATTCAAAGATTCATGCTTAACTGTGTCATATTTCAAGTTTTTGGAGTACTAATGACACTTCTCTAGTAGTCCACTTTCAGGAATGTTGGGAGCTGGGCTTGCTGGTGTCCTTTTTACTGCAGGGGTTGCATTTGCATCACTATCTCTGAAAGGTAGAACTACTTCAGGTATGTAGTGATACCTCTTTTTCACTTTCAAGTGTTTCTTGAATCTGTTAGTTATTTTAAAATCTCAACTTATGTAGTTTTCTGCTTCTTGAGGCTGTGGAGCTGACTATATACCTGTACAGTTAACTTCTGTACTATGTTAAATTTGCTTATTTGGTGCATGTAGGAGTTAAACAGCAGATGGAGCCACTAACAAGAGAGCAAGAAATGCTATTTTCCTCTGACAATCAGGTTGCAAAAGCTGATCAGACCAAGAATGAAGCTAGCACGGTGCTATCAGACGAACAGACCAAGATAGACAACTGTAATGCAGAACTCCAGGAAGGTATAAATAAGAAACTTTTTTCTCATGTAGAAACTACTGAAGATCCTAAGGGGCGCGACCTTGATATTGTTCTCAATTCAGAGAACACTAAATCAAATGGCAATGATATTGATCCCAATAATCTCACTTCAAGTCACGATGATTTACAAATTGGCCCAGATGTTGATCGAAGTCAGATGCCTTCTACCTCTAGCTCCCCATCACTTGAATTTTCTTCACATGACACTGTCGAGTCTTCCCCGGATGCTTCTAGCCTTAAGGATTCACATAATGCTTTATCTGGTTTAGTAGACTCAGGTATTGAAAATGACCCAGACCAAAACACTAGCAATGGTTCTGACCTATTGTCATTAAGTGCTTACTCCACAGATCATAATAATTTCCATCAGGAGGGAAATATAGCTGGTCTTGACGTACCTCTGGATTTCTCAAGTGAATTTGAGGACCAACTTCAAAATGAACCCTCAACATCTAGTCCTATGATTCTAGAGTCAAGTGACATTGTAGATTCACCAGATATCACAACTGGGAGAGTGGATACTACATCTGTAGTTCTAAAAAAAGAAGATATAGAGGATGAGTCCTGATATTCTTAAGACTGCTCCATCTGGCACATTATCTGGACCAACTCTTGATCAAGATGAAGCAATGATGGCCTCGATGGAGTCTGTTAGGTCTTCTCAAGAATATATACCCAAAAATAATGCTCCGTCTGTAGCATATTCTGAGCAAGTGCTTGGTGATCCCAGCGGTAGTGAACCAGATATAGTCAGTCGCAGTCAAATTGGTAGAAGCCCAACATTTGAGTCAACACTACCTGAGAAATCCATCTCCTATGCTGGCATACCTGCTCCATCACTCGTCTCTGCAGCTTTGCAGGTGCCTCCTGGAAAAGTTTTGGTTCCTGCAGTAGTTGACCAGGTTCAGGGCCAGGCATTCACAGCCTTACAAGTTCTGAAGGTACCAATATATATACTGATGCAGTGGTATACTTGTTGTAATTACTAGTGCTCTTTCTTTTAAATACATTGCCTCTTTACTGTAGTCTTTTCGTTATGCATGCTGTTGCTTGTTATATTATGTTATGGTATTCTGTGAATAGTAAGAGATGATCCCTGCTTCATGCTAGTACTATGGACTTATTCCATTTACCGACTCCCTAACATGGACTTGAGTAGCAACACTGTCAATAATGGTTAGGATATACAACTGCAAGAAACACCTTCATATGAGTATACGATTGATATTGAGATTCATTCCTTATAAGTTATAACGCAAGTGACAATCTGGTCTTAATTAAAGCTGTATTAAATAATATACAGCTTTGAAATTTTGGGGAGGGCTGTAGTGCAAGCCTTAGAAAAAATAAATGGCATATTGCATGCATAATATTTCATGAAGTATTTTGTTTGTTTGTGCTGATGGTAGGAGATGTTAGTGACTGATTTATGCAATAAGGCACTGACATATAATACTTTGAAAAGGGTTTAGAAATTGCTTCTCACGCTGGTCTAGCAAAACATCAAAAGGTTGAACCAATGCAGTTCATACTGTTAACCATTTTGATTTATTGTTGAGGGTGCCATAATGTGTCTGCATATCATATAATACTCTGAAAAGGGTTTGGAAATTGCTTCTCATGCTGGTCTAGCAAAGCATCAAAATGTTGCACCCATGCAGTTCATACTGTTAACCATGTTGATTTATTGTTAAGGGTTCAATAAAGTGTCTGCATGTCTGGTACCAACTAAAACAAACATTAGACTAATGGTTTATGAAATCCATTGTGGACAAAATAAAATCTTCTTCCTTTGAGGTTAGTTTTAAATAAAGGGTTAACTATAGATAGGCTCCTGTAGAATCACATGTAGTTTTATTTTTGCAGATAGACCTTTGGGGATTTTTTTGACTCTTTTACCCTCAAATAGGCTCCCAAAATTTTTTTAACCAGGGGCAATATCTACCAAAATTTCACCTACGATAAAAGAGAAAAAAAAAAGTTATTTAACCCATGTGATCTATCTGCCAAAACGAAAGTAGATGGGTAGTAAAAAAAGGTGTACTACAAGGGCTCTGTGCAATAAACCCTTAAATAAATGTATCATCTTGAAGGTATTTTAATATTGTAGAGAGATAGAAAAGGCTAAGTGTCACGCCCAGGTTTCAAAGCGTAATAATTTGGAATGTGACTCGGCCAACAATACAATCATTCGGCCATATTCAC